TTCGAGCAGGCATTTGAATAGGCAGTGTAACAAACATAGGAATATGGAACAATTGGATGATGAGACTGGATCTTGATTTTAACTATGAGACGCTAATGAGATGTTTTATTGATTTATATTAACTGTTTATTATGCTACTGTTTTAATTGTTTTTAACTGTTTTATGATGTTTTTGAGCATTGAATTTTGCTATTGTTAATCGCTCTGAGTCGCCCGAGGGCTGAGAAGAGCGGTATACAAATATAGTAAATAAATAAATAAATAAACTCCCAGAGATCCTAACAGCTGGTAAATTGGCTGGGATTTCTGTGAGTTACAGGTCAAAACACCTGGGAATGCGCAGGCTGAGAATCATTGACTTAGAAGGTCCACATTAAGACTCAACTGCAGTTGAATTGTTGCCTGCTGCTTAGGGTGAAGGAGCATCAGAGCTTTATGCCTGCTTTCTGGCTTACTCTGGGTGGAGAAGGCAGAGGACAAAGGATCACTTCAACAAATCTCTTTTAACATCACAAATATCTTTTTGAAAATTTAATGGAGGAAATTCATGGGAAATATTAATTTGAGAGCTTTCTGGAAGACAGGAAATTTCTCACGAAAAGAATATAGTAATTTAGTTCCATATACTTTATTTTAAGTTTCTAAATCAAAGTACCCAATTGTTAGCTGTATTGTATAATCAATGGGAACATAGCAGTAGAATAATATCAAAGGCTATCACACAACAGTATTTTTGACAGGTTAAAAAGAAGGCAGTTTCAAATGAAAAATCAAAGACAAACCATTCACCTTCCAGGCTCTATAGTTTTCATGACATTATTCTACATTTTGCATTAAAATAGCATAGGGTAAAGTATGCCCAATTCTTTTTTAAGCCGTCTTGAAAAGCTGTTCTCAAGCAAAGATTGACAATAGCTTTGAAACTGGTTACAAAGAAAGGAGAAACACATTTCATACATTATCAGCCTTCAAACATTTCATAGTTCTTTTTGCTGCATTTGTATATAAAATAATAAAGTGGTACATAAGTTTACAGGCAACTTGAAGGAGCACACACAAACATATTCCTTCACTTTCACTCCCACCTCTTTTCTTTAATCACCACCATTCACAAACAATGTATCTTTTAAAATTTGTAACTAGAGCTTCCCCACCTACTGTGCTGTCACATAGACTTAAATGCTTACTCACAAAGGCCAGAAATAGGGAGAATTTTGTGTTTTAAACAACAATGAAAACAACTGTGTCTTCAGTATCGTGGCAGTCATATACAGGGTGAAAGGAAGAGAATCTCCATACAGTCTGAGAGGACTACAGCTTTAAACTTTGACTACTATTGATAGTAAGACTCCTGAATAAAAGTAACACTGCCTTCTTGATCTATTTTGGGTGGGTGGGCGGGCAGGCAGGCGGGCAGGCAGGTGGGCGGGCAGGCGGGCGGGGGGAGCTGCTTGCCTGAATAAAAGTCTTGTTCCACATTTGTCTTCAATATCCTGGTGTTTTGTATGGGAAAATGTGAAGATAAGGGTGGGAGGAGGTCAGATTGCTTAGTTGCAACTGCAGTTCTTTGAGTGGTCAAATGTGAAATCACACGAATGGGTTATTTTGCACCAATTGGCGCATTCTAGAGGGGCTTTGCAAATGTGGCAGAGGCAACCTGATGCAGGGTAGCAAAGAGTGATAGTGGTGGTGCTCTTCATAGAAAAGGGAGAGAAAGTGGGGGAGAAAGAGGAGGAGGGGAGCAAGTAACTGATGGAACAGGAGGAGAGATACAAGGAGGGAGAGAAAGAGGAGCTTAGTGCTCTATCACTTACGTTGACTGCTGCTAACATCAAATTCAGAGTTGGGGAAGGAGGGAATGGAGGGACTTTGCAAATTTGGCAGATTCCACTATAAGCCAACAAGCATGCCATGCAATACAATTTCCATTAGTTGAGTTCCTCAGTGAAACTGCTGCAGCCCTTGTCCCTGGAGCTCAGTGAGCAGAAACTCAGCTGACCCGCAGCAATGCCAACAGGCGTCTAAAATGGGCATTAAATAGGAAACTTTGAGAGGATAGCCTAGAGTTGTTTCAGTGCCTACTTCGGACTACTGAATATGGATGGCGAGGAAGCTGTTGTAGTCCCCTGCAACAGCTGAATTTTGTTTATGTACTTGTCAGAGGACATGGGCACCTAAAAAAAGCCAATGTGATTCTAGGGTGCATCAACAGGAGTATAGTGTCTAAATCAAGGGAAGTAACAGAATCATTCCACAGTGGTATTATATGTGGTGTCTAAAATCAGTCTGCCAGATTCCTACCTCAACAGTGAAGTAAACAAATCATTTAGATCAGCAACAAGATTTTCTCCTTCTAATCAATTTTATGCCATCTAAAGAGATTATCACATGAGGGTTGTAGTTCATGTTTGAAGCTCCCTAGACATGAACGGAAGCGCTCACAATCACACAATGTCATTCTAAACTCATTCTAAACCAGTTTTCAGCTCGTTTTGAAGCAGCACTTTTCAATAATGAGAAGAAATCTGATTTTAGGCAGTTAAGACTACTTTGGTGTTTGAAGTGTTTTTTTATTTATTTATTTGACTTGTATACCGCTACTCCCAATTTGGCTCAGAGCGGTTTACAGCAGTAGATTAAAACAATACAATTAACTTTAAAATACAATAAAACAAGAACAGACATAGGGTTGTTGTACGTTTTTTTCGGGCTGTATGGCCATGGTCTAGAGGGATTCTCTCCTGACGTTTCGCCTGCATCTATGGCAAGCATCCTCAGAGGTAGTGAGGTCTGTTGGAACCAGGAAAAAGGGTTTATATATCTGTGGAATGACCAGGGTGAGACAAAGGACTCTTGTCTGCTGGAGCTAAGTGTGAATGTTTCAACTGACCACCTTGATTAGCATACAATGGGCTGACTGTGCCTGGAGCAAACTTTTGTTGAAAGGTAATTAGATGTCCCTGCATGCTTCCTCTCTGTTGTTGTGCTGTTGCAATTTTAGAGGTTTTTAATACTGGTAGCCAGATTTGTTCATTTTCATGGTTTCCTCCTTTCTGTTGAAACTGTCCACATGCTTGTGTATTTCAATGGCTTCTCCGTGTAGTCTGGCATGGTGGTTGCGAGAGTGGTCCAGCATTTCTGTGTTCTCAAATAAAATGCTGTGTCCAGGTTGGTTCATCAGGTGCTCTGCTATGGTTGACTTCTCTGGTTGAAGTAGTTTGCAGTGCCTTTCATGTTCCTTGATTCTTGTTTGGGCACTGTGTTTGGTGGTCCCTATGTAGACTTGTCCACAGCTGCATGGTACACGGTAGACTCCTGCAGAAGTGAGAGGATCCCTCTTGTCCTTTGCTGAATGTAGCATTTGTTGGATTTTCTTGGTGGGTCTGTAAATAGTTTGTATGTTGTGTTTCCATTGAAATGGGACATCTAATTACCTCTCAACAAAAGTTTGCTAGTAGAGGACAGATGATAAGTCCGGATGTTGGGGACTTCAAGCAAATGTTGATCTTCGGACCGAAGTAATCTCTACTTCCTTTTGTCCCATTCACTTCCTTTTTAAAAAGAAGCAATTCAAGTAACTGCAGTTTTGCAGGTAATTCCAGGTACTGATGGGGATTTCCCTTCTTGATTAAGCATTTATTTACTGTTTGAACTTTTCTTTGTACATTTTTGCTAAGGTCCAAGTTTATGCATCCTTTTTTAGCCTTAAGCAAAGTTTGGCAGTCATGAATACCTCTCCCTCCTTGAAGAATATGCAAAATTTGTATTTATTTTATTAATTGAAAGTGTTTCCTTTCTGCTTGCATGTCGGTTTCACAAAAGTTCCAGCTTGCGCATCCACCTGCAGGTCTAAGCAAGGTCTGAAGCTCACACTATTCAGCTTAACTGGATGACCTGAGGTTGAAAGCTATGAGACAGGCAAGAGTTCAATGTTCTTAAGAACCAGCCATGGACAGCATTCTGGCTACCTCACTTTGGAACTGCAGAAGTCTTTGAAGATTTCCAAAGGCAGCCCCACATAGAATGAAATCCATTATTTTATTCTTTTTATTTTTCAATGATATTTAATCTTTTGAAGTGTAGTTGTTAATCTGTTTGATTCCGTCAATAGTTCAATCCCATTTTAATCCTTTTTATATGTATTGTTTTTTAAATTGAAAGCTGTTTTGTATACTAATTTTGGAAGAAAAACAGAATAGATAGAAACAGAATAATAAAGAAGTCACAATCACTGAAACTTGCACATCCAGGATGAGGGCTGCGTCCAGGAGTATACTCAAGCTACAGACCTAAGATTTCAAGGGGGATGTATTTCAATCCAGGACAAGCTAACCAATGGTTCTCTACCTGTGGGTCCCCAGAAGTTTTGGCCTTCAACTCCCAGAAATCCTAACAGCTGGTAAACTGGCTGGGATTTCTGGGAGTTTTAGGCCAAAACACCTGAAGACCCACAGGTTGAGAACCACTGTGCTAAACCCTTATTTTCTCACCTGCCTTTCAATTGTTCAAGAGAATCTAAGGATCTCTCTCCTTGTAAATCCCTCTACCATCTCTCTCTATACATGATTTAAAAGCATGGATGGAGGGATGGATGGGTGTGCGTGTGTATACACACACAAATTAAAATTAAAATTATTAAAATTAAAGACTTTTACCAGTGCTAGAAAATAGTTTTTATACAAATTAATATATGTTACCTGTAACGTGGCTGCAGAGGAAAGAAAATTTCCCATAACAACTACTTCAAAATATTATCTGAACAGAGACATTGATATGGTAAGTCGGAACTCATTGAGGTATATTTACATAAATAACCTCTAAAATGTTGTAGTGTTGCAGTACAGTGATTTGTCAAGTCTGTTAGAAGAGAATTTCCACAAAATACTACAGGATTCCTTAGTCCACAACCTACAATCTTTTAACTGAAAACTACAAAAACTTTGGTAAAACAGGGTAAAACCATACAGACTTCAATTTAGTCTAAAATGTAATGCACATACCTTGACAACAGGATTCAGGAGAACAACACCTGATTTCTTTGTAATCACTTGCTTTGTTGTGTAATGGTGTTCTATAAGTTGAGGGATAGTTGAAAAGCCTGTTCCTTCAAATCGATATTGATTCTATAAGAGGAAATTGGAAAATTGAGGTAAAAAACTAGTTAAACAAAACACCCTGCTACTATAAATAAGGAAATGTCTAACTTTCAGCATTGTTTTTAGAGAACATGATGCCATTTAAGACCATCCAAACACAATGAAGATGCACATTTGTGATTACTCTATTGTTCTTAATATTGTTTAAGGTTCTGGTGAAAATGTGGCTTATTAAAATAGACCAAGTAGGACTAGTGTGAAAACAGTATGACTGAAACATTTCCTTGACAAAGGAAGACAGATGGGAACAATTACACTTCTTTCAATCCTTAACTTCTGAATAAACTGAGGTATAAAAATATCACCCCTTATGAATAGAAGGAAAGGTCACTGTTAAAAGATCCTGAGTGATTATAGATTGTGTGGCATATACTTTGAAACACTTCCAAATGTCAAAAGGAATAAAATTTCCCTCCAGAATATGACTCTGTGATCTCAACTTTGGAATAGAGATGGGATGGAGAAACAACTACAGCTGTTTCCTCCCAGGGCATATTTTCTAATTACTTCTTTTAAACTAGATTTCTGGTTTAAAAGACAAGTACCTGGAATACATCTCCTCTAATACTGTGCTATTCCAAGAAGATATCAATAGATAATGTCCACATGTGCATTTTACTAATCTGGGAATTTAATCAGACAGGACAGTTTTGCCTTTAATCTTTTCATCAACCAGAGGAGCTGGGGAAAAGACCTAGTGAGATATTTAATAGTTTAGCATTCCCTGGAAACACACAGCAGTGAGTCACAGGGTACTGGAAGATCAAAGTAAATATAAAGGTTTCTTTTGCCATTAAAATCCATATCAAAACATGGGAGGACGTGCTTTATGGCTGTCTTCTGTAGTCCCCGAGTGTAATATAAATGGGAAAAGAAAAATGTAGAGATGGGTTCAAACAGAGAAGTGATATTATTACATATACATAATGCACTTTTAGCCATAGTTCTCACTAAGAAGCATTACCTTCAAATTGTGTTGAAATGTACACAATACTGATATTTTTGAACTGCATTCAGCCCATCTCTTAAACCTTTGAGACTACTGTTCAACAATGTTTTTAAAAGTGTCGTCTTTTGGTTCTAAGACACACAGATATCCCTGACATAAAATTATTTTTAAAAATTTAATATTGCAGAGTTTCAGCCAGTAAAGATATATTGTACTTTCCCAGAGTTTTTTCAAGTTACAGGAAAACTGGATGTAGTCATTTTTATTATTGGTATTTGCTTTTAATGGTACACCTTCCAGAAGAAGGCAAAGGGAAACCCCTTCTTCTCACTAGGAATTCCTATCATGGGATAGGATCACCTTTAGCCCTAAATGACTTGAAGACACACAACAACAAAGAAAATGCCATCCCTTTACCACCAAAATTATGAGAACATATGTACAGATACTCACCCATGGTACATCATTAATGTATGTTCCATAACTCAGAACTTCTGCCATAACCCGCATTCATATTTCAAAAATACAAACTAACTACTTCTTCCAATACTGTGAAAAAGTCATATTGATTCTTAAGTTTTCACCCACCCCCATGCAACATTATCAGTTTTCAAATGTCGTGTCCAAAAACGGCTATGATATTTTTGAAGCTTACAAAGAGACTCTCTGCACAACACCATTAATTTACGTGTCTTGCACATAATAATGTTTTGTTGCCATTCAAGTCATTAATACAATCCCCAAGGACATTTGCAATTTCTTTCTCCAACACTAATACATCTGTTTCCAATTAAAGCCCATGTTCCCACTAAAAATAATTTCTGTAATCAGCAAGGCAGTATACAGCATAGCTATCTCTAAACAGCTTAATACACTTTCTTGGCTTTTACAAAGTGCTAAGGGTTAGCTCATATCACTATTGGGTGAATAACTGTTGAGGATCATGGTGCAGTGCATGCACCATACAGATACTCTGTTGCGGTTTGTTAGTTTATATTGAATCTACACAGCAGTCCTCCCAGCTCCAGATCCCAAGTTGATTTGCACAGAGTATAAAGAAAAATGTCTTTACTCTTGAGTAGTCAACACAAGTATTTTATAAAGAAAAATACAGTAGCCTTGAAAACACATTGTCCATTGCAGAAGAAAAAAAAATCTTACAAAATAATGCATTAATCTGCTTCTTTCCAGCAAACCTTGTAGCATAGTTCCATCTCTAATTACTTCATTTCACCCACTACCTGCATCAAGAAAACCTCACCTGATATACATCCTAATCAGGGAGTGGTTCTTCCTCAACACACACATATAAGCAAGAGATGATTCTTGTCAAGACTTACAAAATCATATACTGTAACACTCCTCCTTGTGTGTAGAGGAAAACACAATACATACTACAATTACATGGTACACTCACAAATTCCCAAATCATTCAAAACATTCTGATGTTTCTGTACACTCAGTGGCTTAGTTAGTACATCAGCTAGATTTAGATTTGTATTACAATATACCATATCAATTTCACCATTTTTCACTGCATCCCTTACACAACTGTACTTAATATCTACATGCTTGCTTCTTTGTTTTACTCTGGCCTGTGTTGCCATTGTGATGCATGTCTGATTATCCTCATATATTGTTGTTGGATCTTCAACAGGTATTTGCAAGTCTTTAAGCAGTTGTTTGATTACACAAATCTCTGTATATGCTAAGCTAAGTGCACCAAACTCAGCCTCACTGGAACTTAAAGCTACATAACTCTGCTTTTTCGACTTCCAGTCAATTACAGCATTAGAAAACTTAACTAAAACTCCTGTTGTCGATTTCCTATCAGTACAGTTGCCGAAATCACTGTCTGTATATACCTGCAAGGATAGCGAATCATCTGGACTTAATGCCAAACAAAAATCTTGTGTTTGCTTTAAATATCTTGCTACCCTCTTAAGTCCATTCCATGCAGCAATGGTTGGGTTGCTTGCATACCTGCTTAGAAAATTCACAGCAAATGCAATGTCTGCTCTGGTGTAATTACATATGTACAATAACTGACCAATAATGCTCTTGTATAAGGCTTTCTCTTCAAATATTTCAGCATTTTCCACTTCGTTTTGAAAACCTAAAATCATGGGTGATTTAACTCCTTTACATTCTTTCATGTTTAGTTTTTCCAAAATCTGCATTATCTTCCCTTTTTGACTTAACACAAAACCTTGTTCAGTTTTCATAATTTGTACACCAAGAAAATATTGAATTGGACCAAGGTTTCTTAACTTAAAATGTTTTCCTAACTCTTCTGCAAATTTGTCAGTTTCTGCTTGAGTTTCAGCCAAAAATGATACATCATCAACATATACAAACAATACTTGATAATCATGTTGTACATTTCTTACATACACACATGGATCTGCTCTGCTTCTCTGGAAACCCATTTTGGTCAAAACATCATTTAAACAATCATTCCAGACAAACCCGTATAAAGCGCGATTCAGCTTAAAATACGTATTGGTATCTCTGTACTTTGAACCTGGTGGAGGTACAATATATATATTCTCCTTTAGAGTAGCATTCAGATATGCTGTACTTATGTCAAAATGATATACCTTTAAATTCAAACATGCTGCAAGAGTTAAAATCAATCTTACAGAATTAGGACTAACAGTGGGCGAATACACCTCTGTGTAATCTATGTCCCTAATCTGTGTACTATGTCCCTAATCTGTGTAAATCCTCTAGCAACAAGACGCGCTTTGTACCTTACTTGACCATTAGCATCAAGGTTTTGCTTAAAAATCCATTTTGTGTCAATAGGATTCCTCCCTCTTGGTAAATTGGCAGGTTCGTACACATTTAACCTTTCCATGTTTTTCAGCTCTTCATCTGTAGCCTCTAACCATTTTTCCTTTCTTCCCTTGTGGCAAACTTTCTATTTCCTCAAAACTTTGAGGCTCATAATTAACTAAACATACTCTCACATTTTGTATTGTGAACCTGTCAGGTTTCTTTCTGGTTCTCTCACTTCTTCTGAGTAAAATTTCCTGACTAGTTCCTTCCCCAGGATCTTCATTCACCTCATCATCCTCATCTGAGAGCCTAGACCTCTTAAATTTTCTAATTATAGGCTTACTTATGAGTTGAGGTGTAGCAGCACTTTCCTGCACTGTGTTTTGTCTACCTTGCTCACGAGTTTCCTCTTTCGAAATAGGAAAGAAAACTTCCTGATTAGCATGAATCTTATCCCAATTCTGGCTACAGGCAAAATTAGCAGATCTTGATATAACAATGCTTCCTTCATTATCTAAAAATCGCCAAGCTTTGGCTCCCTGTGCATAGCCAACCATTGTTAATTTCCTGGCTTTGTCTTGGCCTTTCCTTCTTAATGGTTTGGGGATGAACACCCATGCCTGTGTTCCAAAAGTCCTTAAATGCCCTAATGGAGGCTTCTTGCCATATAACATAAAATAAGGGGTGTTCTGAATAGGCTCACATCAGAGTCTATTAATTAAATAACATGCAGTCATTACTGCTTCTCCCCATAGATTTTGGGATAATCCAGAATCTTCTAACAAAGAATCTTTCACTGTTTGCACTTTTCTTACAAACCTTTCTATCTTTCCATTTTCTGCACTTTGATAAGCACATGTGAGTCTGTGCTTTATCCCCTCTTGCTTCAGAAAATTTTCTAAACTATGTGAGGTAAACTCTCCTCCTCTGTCAGTTTGGAGAGCCTTTACTCCTACTCCAAATTGTCTCTTCACATATGCCACCCAATTCTTAATAATATCAAAAACGTCACTCTTTTGTTTTAACAAAAAACACCAAGAAAAACAAGAATAGTCATCTAATAAACACAGTATATAACAGGCTCCACCCTTACTCGGTTGAAATGGTCCAACTAAATCAGCATGTACCAACTGAAACTTTTCCTCTGAGTTTCTCAAACTTTTACTAACTGGAGCTGACTGTGTTTTAGTTTTCTTGCATACATTGCAATCTAGAAACTTCTTGCAATCTTTTAATTTTATGCCTTCACTAAACTCTGGCATTTTATACAACACTTTGAAACTTGGGTGACCTAATGCTCTATGTAAATCATGAATACATTCCTGGTGTAATGGAGCATTCTTACTTATTACATTTACTTCACTTCACTTGTGTTATCTCCTGAGGTCAACACATACAAACCCCCCTGTAATACACCAGTTCCACATAACTTATTCCCTTTCAAAATCCTGACTTTTCCTCCAGAAAAATTAACTTCATAACCTTCTTTATCCAGTTTTCCAACTGATAATAAATTATAATAAATCTCTGGAACTAAAAATACATTCCTTAATGTTTTACCCAAATGCTTAACATAAACTTCCCCTTGCCCCTGTATTTTGTACTGTTTTCCATCTTCAAGGGTAACATTTGAACATTTAGGATTCACAGGGTTACAAATTAAACTTTTGTTGTTCACTATATGCTGTGAACATCCAGAGTCCACATAAAATATGTCTTCAACTGCTGGACTCCCCTGGGACTTCACAATTCTTACATACGAGGAACTCCTCCTCTGGTTCACCTTCTTCCCTCCTTGCTTCTTCTGCTGCTTTGGGCAATTCCTCTTTAAATGGTTTGGAGACCCACAATTGAAGCATCTTCTCACCACACAAACTTTCTCCGTCTCCTCCTCGAGTGCAACTCCGGCTGACTGCTTTCCTTGAGAATGCCCTGCTGTGTTTGCAGTCTCCAGGAATTGATCTCTTTGCCTTTCCCAATCAGCAAGAAGTCTGGCACAAATATATTGGAGATTTAATGGTGCTTGGGGGAGTGATTCTAAGGAATTTACTATCCCATCAAACGAATCATCCATGGATGACAGGACAATAAAACATTTGTTCGGCTCTGTGAGATGAAAGTCTCTCTCCTCCAGTTGCAAAAACAAACTCTGCAATATCTGCAAATGGTCTTTCAGACTTTCATTCTTCTCCAGTCTTTTCCTGTAAAGTCGCCTTGCCAGCACAGCCACTGTTGCTG